TTATTTTCTCCTTTCATTCCCCCACGGGGTGGAACATTCTTGCAAAGGGATAGGACTGAATCTACGATTAAAACACTGTCCACACAGACTTATCAAGAGGAGCACAAATTGTTGACTAGAAAGGAGTCAATTCTAAAATAAACATCCAAGAATTTTGCATATCGGAGAATCAGAACACTGTAATGAAAAACATGTCAAGTATTCCCAAGCAACTAAACAAACACTTTTTCTTTTTCTTTTTCCTTTTCCTAAATCAACACGTATATCAATTATATGAATCCAAAAACCATCACTGGATGCCTTCTAAGGAAAAGAGAGAGAGGAGGAAAAAATCTTTCTCACACTGGCATATGTTGGGCTATGACGGGAATACAGCGCTGTGTCTTGGAACTTGGTTGACATCATACCTTCAGCTTCATTTGTGAGTCAATGCTTCAAGTGCAGCTCTATTAACCTGTGCTTGTAAATTACCTTTGCACTATTAGTAATCTTTCAATATGATGTGACAACTTTATTATAATGTTTTCCTTATGAAGTTTAGGTTCATATTTTAGCTAGATTTCAAAAAGAAGTGGGTTGCCTGGAGTTTTAAGCAATATACTAGAAGGAAAGGACTATAAAAATATTGTCTTTCCTTGTTTCAATTATTTTGTAGAACTTCCTTCTGCAGAGCAGTTCCTTAAAAATACAAGTATAGAAGAACAAGAATCATTCAATGATTGAGCCTTAAAATGCCATAATAAATATACACCATTAAATTCTATTGATGTTTTCCTGATATACCACTATTTTATTTAAACTACATTTCCTGTATTCAACGTATTACGTTCAGTGAGATTTATTTTCAGGTTCATATAGACAAGATTGGTCTGCCTCCTTATTTCATTAAACAGTGTTAGATATTGAACAGTTCTCTTAAGACAAGAGTATTTATGAATAAAATACATGCTTCTCTGTATATCAGGAGGCAAAATAAATTTCAGATTTATCCTAGCATGAGAGAGATTTCTGTTAGTGGTAGACATGTTTTCTACTTACACTTTTATAGCAGTGGGGGTTATGAATGGGGGGCACTATCTTGCAGTGGTTCATCTCCTTCTTCAGTGGTTGGTGTTGATAGGAGGGGAGAGACTATGCCATGCATAGGTGATGCTGTCAATGTACTAACCCAATATCTGGAGGCTGTTTGGGTCTGGATGGGGAGGAAAAGACTTTGGCTCAATCCTTAGAAGATTGAGTGGTTGTGGCTGTTTGGGCCTCCAGTCAGGGACATTTTCACAATTTGTCTTATATGAGGTTACACTTCCTTATTTGAGACTGGTGTGCAACTTGGGATCCTCCTGGACTCACAGGTACTGCTCAATGAGCAGTTGACAGCTGTGGCCAGGAGACCCTTTGCACATGTTCATCTTGTGCACTAGTTGCACCTGTTCTGCAACCTTCAGATAATTACTCATGCCCTAATCACCTTGTGATTGGACTATTGCAATGTGCTCTACATGGGGCTGCTCTTGAAGACCAGCTGGAAGCTACAGCTGGCCCAAAATGCAGCAGTGAGATCAGCAACTGGCACTTCTTGTTATGCTCACGTGTCATGCTGCTGCACTAGCTTTCAGGTGCCATTCTGCATGCTGGTCATCACCTATAATGCCTTTCATGGTACAGGGCCTGGTTATTTATAAAACTGCCATTCTGCAATCATTTTGCCTGCCCAGTTCATTCAGCAGAGTGGGTGTTACCCAGGTCCCCTCAATTAAACATTGTTATTTTGTGGGATCAGGGAAGCGTGTGCTCTCTGTCTTAGCCCTTGTCCTCAGGAATAGCATCCCCCAGAGATACATATGGTACCCACTTTCTTAGGGTTCTGGAAGGCTCTTAAGACCTGTCTCTGTTCCCAGGCCTGGGTATAGCATGTTAGTGGAGTCCCTATTGTGTCTTTTTTTTTTTTTTTTTTTTTTTTTTACTGTTACGGCTGTTTTTGTCTAGGCTG